CGTGGATATATGTAAGAAAAACTTAATTAGTGTAGTCCACCCACCAATCCATCCACATCACATCCATCTGAACATTGTCATTTATAATATTAGTTAGTTAAATAAAAAGCAGCTCTTCAAGGAATAAAAATGAATAAATAGTATCCTATGCCCGTCTCCTGCCACTAAGCTACCTCCTGACCAATTTTCAACAACATCGGTAGACCCGTTTTTGAGTTATAAATAGTGTAATTAACACGACTGTCTTTTATAATTTTATATTTTTGTTACTGACTTCATTTAGTCTTTGTAAAATAGCTTCAGATTGATTTAATCGTTTCATTACGAAGCTTGATAGATTTGCTTCGAGAAATCTTAAGATATTCAAATTACTATTAAATTTATATTCATAAATCAGACGTTTATACGTAATGAAAATGTTCGCGTTGAAAGACTGTGTCGAAACTGAAAGGTCTCGGGTTCAGAGATCTGTCTATTCCGCAATTGCTAAACAATATTTATGATACCTTATACACGGCATTTCCATTACACGAGGCGGTATGTCTCGACCTGCGATTGTGCTTATTATCTTATCGTCTCACGGTAAATTTCAGATTTAATTTAAGTGTTTTCGAACAACTTAGAGATAGAGTTTACTCGTCGACGATAACATGTGACCTGAGTTTCATGACGTCAGAGCTGCATGCTAATAAAAAAGGTGGTCAACTACAACATTGAAGCAAAAGTTAGGGAATTCTTATAATAATTTATGTTACAGATCGACTTTTTAAAAATAATAACCAATCCACTTCTTACGTACGTAGCGCTTGTAAATTTTAACCAGATATTCGCTAGAATATTATTTATACCTTAATAGATCATGATTAATGGGCCTTATCCAGTTTAAGTCTAGGTTACACTAGTCTAAACAAAGTCTGAAGTCTATCTGGGAGAAAATATTTCCACACGCGTCTAGCAATCGAAAGTAGACAGTCGGCGTCACAATTTGGGCTCTCTTTGATCTCGCTGACTACTTTATCTTTCACTCGTGTAGTTAGACCACTTAAACTATTGACATTGAATTCGTAAAAAATGTTTTAAAAATTAAATTAACATATGAGCTCGCTAGTAGTAGCATATCTCTGGGTTATGTAGGATTTTGACCTACCATATATATGTCACGTTAGCTATTAGTCTTGGTTATATATTGGTGAGTTTTAATTTATTTCAACATTAAAAAGTCAAGATAACTCGATCGTAAGGTTAATTTGGCTATTTAACGCCACCAAATCTAAAGAGAGATGACACACACGAAATAAATCGACATAAAGTCTTTAAAGTAATCGTCACGAACACGATTAGCTTCTTATCTGACATTTCATCTTAACAAGTTACGACAAAGGTGACAGTTAGTTATTTTAATAGGCTTATGATACCCTATGAACTCATTTCTGATTATTATTTTATATTTTTTTTATTAATTTACATTTTATCTTTTTAATAATAAATTTGTCCCCGTCCCGACGTTTAGTGGTTGGACTGAAACTGTCAAAAAGAGATAAAAGTGACACGCGTTGACGAAAATATTACCGCGAATATCAAGTGACTTTAAACAAATGTCTCTTCATTGCGAAAATAAATCAAATGGCAAAGAACTTTGAGTTTATTTTTGAATAAACGTTAAATATCTTTCCGACGTTACGGGAACTGGCGCATGATGTTTCCTTCCCGTTGGAACGCATTTAGAAATAGAAAAAAAAAACTAAACGAAAACAAACAAGCGATGATGAGCTCTCAGTTATAGGGGTTTTCAAATTATCTAATTATATTTAATAACTGCGTAACGAAGCGCTTGAATTATATTTATGCGTTGTTCATTTATTTTGGGAAACAATTGAAAAACGACCTTTTTGTTTGGTACAATTTTATCGCTTTAATAGCAACAGAGTTTGCTCTTTCTTCTTTAATATATAAATAAAATCAGAGTGTCTGTTTGTCGAAAAAAATACCATCTTTCGTATACAATCTGTATATCTGTCTGCAAAGTAGCGTATGTTCCGGATAATCTCCGGAACAGCTGGACCGATTTTGGGACCAACGGGAAGATAGCTAATAAACGCGAGAATGTTATACGTTACTATTTTAAACTCTGCGTGGACAAAATCGCGGATAACCACAAGTATTATCTATATCTCTACAAAATTCGAAAACATATAAATTCACTGCTTAACAATATTAATCTCCTTACAGGAGTACATAATTCAAAATTTATTTACCGCACGATTTAACCTGTACAAGCGTCAATCTGTCTTTCTGTACATCGGACACTTATTACTAAATTAATGTACCGGATAATATGCACTTTGTATTATGATTCTAATAATAAACCAAATAGAGTCTATTTTAGTTTGTCGAAATCTTATTAATGTGCTTTGTAACGGGTCCGTGTTTTAATACAAATGTTTGTCGCTAACGTAATCTTGTTCGAATAAATATACATGCATATATTAAGCAATGATACAATAAAATCCTTTGTTTATTGAGACAATTGCATTGTTTTTTTGTTGATAAACATGCTAATTGATACTTTGTATATCATCAGCTTAATATAGGTCCCCACCGAGGGGCTCGGAGCCTACCTTAAGTTAAGGGTGATTAGGCCATAGTCAACCTGGCCAAGCGCGGGTTGGTTGACTTCAACATATCTTTGAATTTCTTCTCAGATATGTGCAGGTTGCATCACGATGTTTTCCTTCACCGTAAGATCGTCGGATAAATGTACATATGTATATCGAAAATAGATTAACACATTGGTACATGGCGGAATTCAAACCCAGGATCTGCAGATTGCAAGTCAAGTGCTTGACCACTGAGCCACCGACGCTCTTTTTGCTGTGTGAAAGTCAAATTTTATTCATATGAAAAACATGCCCAATAACAGTGCATGTTGTGTTATTTCTTACTACCGAAATACGTGTCCAAAAATCCCTGTTATCTGTTATTTATTCATTCCTAATTATTTATTTATTCCTAAAAAGAATCATTAAAGATGACACTATGGTCGTGTAAAGTTGTATCGTCAGTGTAAACTCACTCTAACATACGTTGACCAGGACATGTAAGATGTTATTTCTGTATTTTAACAAAGAAAGATAATCATAAACAACACGAGTTAAACGCTCAATAAGCAGTAAATAAGATTTTAATCCTTAGCGAAGACGCAGTTAAGAAATATGTTATTATTTCTGTTTGAAATGTTTGTATTTCTTGTGCTTATTAACTTTAGTCAGTATGTTAGTAAGCTATTTAATTTATACTGAAATCTGTACTCAGGAATCTTTTTCCTAATAAAGTATTTTGTTTTAAAAGAATCATGTAGTTATACTGCCTATGCTATTCCCTAAGAATACTTCCATACTCTGATGGCGCAGCAACCCAAAGTAGGTGTTGGCCTCCGACAAAAGAGATCGTCATAGTCGCCTTTCTACCAAAAACAATTAGATCAAATCATAGTCCTACTGAGGCAAACTGTTGCATTATAATATAAAAATAAATTTATATATATTAAGGATTTATAACCTAACAAATACCGAGAAAATAATCGCAAATTGTTTTAACTCACTATCGGCTAGCATAGTTCTTTAGAAGCAAATGCGATAACAGCTAAGATCGTCCAGTAGCTGAGATGTAACTAGGGTTGTCGCCACTCTGGATTCCGGCCTGTCTTGGGGTTCCATCATGCATATTCTAGAAACAGGTTGTCGGGTTAGAGTTTGTTGTCCGCTTAGGATCAAGTGAGGAAATCCTTCATTTTTAGTTGACCGCAAGAAAACAAGCAAAATTGACCAATCACTTGCTGTCTTATTTTACTGCCAGTGTTAAGGACGTTGGCAACCCTTAACACAACTTATGCTGAAATAGCGATTTGTTCTTATTTCTTAGTAAGATTAAGTCGTTCTATTCGCGTCGAGCATGCGTGTATGGTTGTTGTCTTTTTATAATGATTACCATGCAAATGTTGGATGCCTATTCAAGCTTAGTTATGTTGATTTTGTTGTGACTCCAGGTAATTATCATAGATTACGCTTGACACATTGTAACCGAAAGATAGGTAAATGATTAGTAAGATAATTGTGTAAAAAAATTACTTGAAGTTTGAAAATTATAAGCAAATAACATTCTGCATTATGCACAATGAAGGAATGCTTAAAAGATATAGGTACTAAAGCGTTAGGCAATAAAACCTAAATTATAATTTAAATTAGCAAAAAACCGGCAATCGAGCGTTTACTCTCGTCGCCACATTATGGAAGTGCTCAAATTTAACCGGAGCTAAGCTAACGTGTTAACTAAAACCGCGTAACGAGGTTCATAGGCTGCCCGAGGAAGGTGCGCTGCCGGTACGTCGCAGCCGCGCGGGCGAGCGTCCGCGGCGCACCTTACAGGGGCATTGCCTCAAAGAGCGCGTGACGTCACAAACTATTGAGACCAGCGCCGTAGGAACGGGCGATCAAGGAACAGCAGTGGCATCACACTAGAGAATACACTTCCAATCGACGTAGCGCTCCGTTCGTATATATGCGGATCGACGAGAAAAATTTCAATAGCGCGATTCAGACTTGTTCACTTTTTGTGGAAGATTTTTTTTTTAAGTTTCAATAAAACCGTTTTAATATTTTTTTAAATACAGCATTTTATTTTTTTTTAAAAGAAGTAAGAGTTTGTGTTCCGTAATATTATAAAATAAATATAAAATATGCGTTATTTTTTAATTATTGTCTTCGCCAACGCCATCTACCGACAGTTTAATGAAACTAAAATAGAAGCTTGTTTTTAAAGGCTTTCCTACGCATTGTCAGATGTCGTTGCAATTTAATACAGTAAAGTAATATTAATTGGCTGAAATAAAATAAAAATAAATAGATGAATTATAATAACCAATAATTTTACACAAAAAAATTTAATCGATGTTATAAACAAGCTGAGCTTTAGTCTAATATAACAATTGTTTTTTGTTTCAGAGGATCGAACAACGAAAGAAACGAGAGTCCCGGCACTGACGATGGCAGTGTTTCTCCAGAGCCACCTGACCGACCGCCCGGGAAAGTGCGTCAAATCCACCCCGAAGACAAAGCTCAATTCCTCGCTTACGATTCTACATACCGTAAAAAACCAAAGCCCAAATCTCTTCCTCTAGAAGACAATCAGATGTACAGTCATTTAGCTAATACAAATGTAGCCATGTCACCCATGTATCCCCTCACGCCGAATATTTGCGTGGAAGGAGGGAAGATTGAGTTCATAAAGTCGCCACCAGGGAGCGCTAGGAGTAGCGTTGCGCTAGTGTCGCCGCCGCAAACACCGGTTGTTATGCGGCGCACCTCGCGGGAGAAACGTGAAGTTCGGTGCAGCGATGAACAGGTCGAGAAGTTCGACGGTGATAAGGTAGGTGGCGCTGTTTCAATTTTTTTCCCCACATTTTTTGGTCGATTTACTCATGTTTTTTTGTTTGTTATTTCGTGATTTAATATGAATAAAAGTCTAGATATATTTTCGGTATACACTGTTACTCTTCAGCTGTCTGATAAAATTTCATTCAATATCTATCTTTTGCACTCTTTACTTTCGTTGGGTGTATGACATACCGTGGGTTTCTGAGACCAAAACATCGGTATAAAACATATTGTAATCCCACTCATTATCTTTGAAAAACAAAACGTTTTAAACGGAAATTTCGGTCTCAGAGACCCACAGTTGTTATTGTCATTTTTCTATAACTTGTTTTTGATGTCTAAAAAACTAATTTCGATACGCTATGTCTTCAAACATTTCCAACCGTTTTCCTATTTGGAGTTTGAATATAACCAAACAATTGATTGAAATGTCCAAGCCCTCGTCAGGAAGCTTTGTGAACTTATTTCCGATCTTTCAAAATATGACGCGTCTTGTGCCACCACCGTCCCCGACAAATCAAAAAACTTTTAAACAGTGCTTACAAAGGAAAACCTTTTATTGTCAAATTCTACCTTTTTCTTAACTTATTGGACGAAACCATATGAGGTAAATAAGTTTAGTAAAACATTGAGTTTTTTTTACGCATCAATACATTTATATATAAACATAAATTAGATTATACTCAATCAATGCTTATATTAATCGTCGATCAAAAATACTCCACAAGACACATTGTACTTAATATTAAGTATTATTGAGAGAAAACTGCTTTTATTACATACACAGAATATTGAAGCTTCGCGGCTTTCGTGATGATTAGATTTTTTTAAATCTTTTTTCTATTTTTGTCCTTATATGACGTGTCAATCCTATAGTACCTTTAGTTATATTTTAATAAACGAGCTAGCGTAATCGTACGGCTGCGAATACAACAATGAGTAGACTTACGCCTTTTTAACAAAGGCAATTTGTGAACAACCTTAATAGAATTAGTAACAATGTTCAAATAAAAATTTAGGTAACGACTATCCAATTTATGGGTTACTAAAGTTGTTTAGCGTCGGTGGCTCAGGATTCAAGCACTTGACTTGCAATCTGCAGGTCCTGGGTTCGAATCCTACCATTTACCAATGCGTTTTTCGATTTCCGATTTACATATGTACATTTATCCGATGTTCTTACGACGAAGGAAAACATCAAGATGCAACCTGCATATATCTGAGAAGTAATTCCAAGGTATGTGTGAAGTTAATCAACCCGCACTTGGCCAGCGTGGTTGACTATGGCCTAGTCACCCTTAACTAAGGGTAGGCTCCGAGCCCCTCGGTGGGGACACATAGTGAGCAGATGATGAAAGTTGTTAAAAATCGCACATCACTTATGTTACCTTTTTAATGTTTGTTCTTTAAGATAATTTCAAAGTTATAACAATTTTCATTTTATAATCTAAAAGCAAACGTTTGAAAACATCTTATACAATATTCTTCATCCCCTAAACAGGAGGGGTGGAAATAATTGGCCTGATGCACCTTAATGCGTCTTTAGTCGTGCCTAAATTGTTTTTGAAAGCTTTCATGATGGCTGTCTCTTATAAGATTGTATGGACTTAAAGGGATTCCGTGTTAGATGAAGTTTGGATCGATTTATATTTTATATCCTTATTTTATTTTATCACTGGGGTTCTGTTGATGGATTTATTATTGACGAGTTACTTGACATGTTTAGTTTTATATGTTTCGTAGCTGTCGCCCGCGACTCCTTACACAGAGTTAAAAGAAAACTTAATAAGTAGCATGTGTTCTTCCAGACTATGTTCTATATGTATGCCAAATTTCATTATAATCCTTTGAGCTATCCATCCATCCATCTTAACTTTCCCATTTATATTAAAATATTATATGCTAGGTTCAATCTTACTTCTAACTAATACTATAAATTCGAATCTTTGGATTGATGGATGGATGGATGTTTGTATGTATCTCGAGTACGGCTGTATGGATCTCGGTGAAATTTGGCGTAGATGTAGAACATAGCCTGGAAGGTCATATAGGCTACAATTTTTTTTTATTCCCACGCGGTAAGAGTCGCGGGCCACATCTAGTTTAGTAAAAAAATGTTGCGGCATGAATAAAAGAAGTGATAAAATCAGATGTAAGGAAATATTGAACAAAATTAATTTAAAGATCTTCCAACGTAACCAAAGGCGACGGCTAGACCATAATATAAATCGTATATGTTATTCCCAGGTCTGTGAGTAATATAAATTCATAAGTCTGCGTACTGAGTCTGATTTACTTTGAGAATCGGTTCAATTAATTCACTCTATGTCCCGACGTCTCTTTTGCATTTCCTCTACGTTTTAGCGATGCTTTTACGATCCAGATTTGCATTCATTCAAATGAGACTGCGGCATGTTATCTAAACTAATGCAATGATATATTATTACGTTTTCATTTATACTAACTTTTAAGGACAAAATCTATTGAAAAAACTATAACGCAATCATAGCGCTAGAAGGAATTTGAATAGGGGCGGAATCTTACTAATAATATACAGTGAATTTGAATGTATGGATAGATGGATCGATGAAATTAGGCATAATGTAAAACATAGTCTGGACGAACACATAGGCTACTTACTAAGCATTTTTTAAAACCGCGCAGACGGAGTCGCGGCTGACTGATATTAGAAAATAACAATGGTGTTTATTTTCTGTAATAAAATCTGCTTGATTCTATTTTTTCCCAAAATACAAACACAAACATATATTTTTATCTCTGTTTTTTTTTCTACAAGAATGACCAGGACGACTATATGTTTCTGTACATATGTTTCGGCGAAGGAAACCCGAAATACGGCTTGTAATAATGCACTTTAATCTCACTTGAATAAGGATTGCAGTTATAAATATTTGAAGACCTAACCTTATTTGAATCTCGTATTATCTAAAGAGGTTTTACTTATCTTATCTGCGCAAATTAATTGTTTATTATCTGTTTTATCATTGACAACATTCAGACTTGTCAGCTCACTGACATTGTCTATGTTAGACGCCTGAGCTGAAAACTTGTGTTAATTTTTTAAATCGTTCGCAATTAAAATAAAAGTAATATTTTAGCCGGTAACCTGTATTTATGTCAGAGTTTTCGTTATAACGTAATTTATCAAAGATGCTTCCATCATCTATTGTGGTTTATGTTTTAGAAGACAATTGTTTCTATGTTTTTGGAGCGATAGTTATGTGTTTTATATTTTTCTGTGCTTTGGAATACAAAGAAAATATTACAAATCGAATACAAAGAATAAAGATATCCAAAAGAGGTTTCACGATATCGGACAATGAAGTTTGTCTCACGGAAACAGCAGTTGGATTTAATTCTACGTGATTTGTTGAGAAATAACATACAGTTGGCGTTGACTATTTAAAATTGCTGTGTTCATTTTTTGAAGATTTCATGTGAACTATTGAAGAAAACCTGTTATGTAAATTTAGGATATATTTTTTTATGTACATATCTATATCTTACAAAGATGTAAAACATTAATTAAAAATAAATAAAATAATCATAAACACAACTTTTTAAGTTTTAAGTCAGTATCTCCGAAACGTTCGCTAATTATATTGAGCCCGCGTCGTTGTTCGCCAGGAATTAAAAAAAAACTTCGTACCCTATGTGATGTGTTAAACTCTCTTCTATAATACATCTATGAATCTATCTTCTAACAAAAATCTATCCATACATCCAAATATTCCAATTTCAAATATTAATTAAGTACGAAGTAAGATTGAATTGAGTAAAGAAATAATAGTAGTTAAATATAGCATTTTAGAAATAACATAACGTTGGTTATTCTGCTTTTCTTCAGTCCTATGTCTGCCTCTAGCTTCTACTTCCCCTATTCAACTGGGATATTAGCTTAAGTGGGACATACATTACCCTCTACCCCTTGTACACTTGATAGCAATGGATTTTGCCGCAAATGTACCGTGCAGCAAGGTGCGCGAAATGTAGCCGAAATATTTGCTTGTTATGGAACCTTAATGGATGTAAAACGTTATTTTAATGAACCAGAATTTGTTTCTATGAATATATAACCAATGTTGAGAAGAATTCTTGCAGAGTTTATTATGAGTATTCATTTTATGTAAATGTTTTTGTTTATTCGAAAATATAATACTTTAGCCAAATCGTTTTAGTGCAATCCAGGACAATATTTGAACTGAAATTTATGACAAAAATCTTATAGGAATTTTCAATAAGTTATAATTTAAACTATCATATTATATAAAGTATTATGAACTTCATTTTAAATTCATAGGTTCCGTTGCAAAATTACAAAATTAGCTTTTAGATTGTTAGCATAATTTCGTTATTGACGATATGCTCGTCAGATTAGCGGCGGCAGGCTGTGATAGATTCCCTTGCTTTTTGCATGCACGAGCAATCAATCATGCAGATAACTGTCATTTAATAGATAGCCGAGGACGCTACCAGTTTGGAAGTGTAGGGAAGGGATAAAGGTTCGTTTACACATCGCCGAACAAGTGAACTTGTCGTTTATTCCAACAATATGTTATTAAAAAATTTACCTTTGAATAAATTGTTGATTTCTTATTAGAAATTTACTTTTTCCTATAAATATAATATATTAAATGCCGCTTTAAGAGTAGTTTAATGCTTAAGTATTCGGTTAAATTTATCTCATTTAATCTACACTAAGGAACTTCCTTAGTAGAGTCTCTATTGAATCGTAATAAGATTATCGTTAGTAGTAGTTTATTCAAAAATTGTTAACTTAGACTCACTTTTTATCTTCAATGCTAGCTCCACAATAATATCGTTCGAACAAAACGTTCGTTCGTTCGGAACGATTAAACTTTTGTTCACCTATCGATTTACTACTCGATTGGTACTCGTGAGTGATTGCTTAGGGGACTATGTTTAGACAAATTGGAAATTCAGGGCCATGTTGTTATTGAGGTTGTAAAT